GTCATTTTTTTTTTTTTTTTGTCAAAGGCTTTTAAAAAGTGTGCTTAATGGTATTGAATGTGCACATCAAATTTTAAAAATAGCTTATATTAAAAAAAAAAAGCTACTAGCAGATGATATAATATTAATGAAATAAAAGTCTGCTTAAGTGACTTAAAGAGAGACGCTTTCATGACTGTTTCTGAACACACTTAAGCACACTTTTAAATAGTGACCTTTCAATGTCAAATTAAAAGTACATTTTTAATCATCATGTTTTAATAATCTTTGTCATGTTTTAAAGAAGTACACTTATTTTGATGTGTTGACTAACATACGAAAGCACACGTAAAGTACTTCATTATCATTTTAACTGTAGTGTGTTATTCAATATTATATTTAAAGTTACTATATTTTAAATGCAATAATTTGCAACTTGCAACTAATTGCAAATGTCTCATAGCATTTACATTTAGTCATTTAGCAGACGCTTTTATCCAAAGCGACTTACAAATGAGGACAATAAAAGCAGTCAAAATCAACAAGAGAGCAACAATATATAAGTGCAAATGACAAGTCTCGGTTAGCCATTTAATAACAATTTTAATACATGACACAAGTTTCAGTAGATATGACATTAAAGTATATTTTAGTTGATCATAAATGCTTGTCAGTACATTCAGCAGTATGTTAATCATATTTCAAAGACAACAGAAGTAATTATGCAATTACATATAAAGATGTACTTAAGTCCTACTTAAGTGGGTCAAAAACACTCTAAAGTTCAGTTTGTTTGATGTCATGGTGTCTTTTAAATTCTCGACACAGCTGTGAAATAATCTTCCACTGGCAGTGTGTTATTGATGTTGAGCTCAGTCATATTTTTCAGACGGATTGTTTAGTGCTAATATCTCCGCAGGTGGGAGAGACTATAGGAATCACAGAGGAGATCATGGGACTGACGATTCTAGCGGCGGGAACCTCCATCCCTGATCTGATCACCAGTGTCATTGTGGCCCGGAGGGGTCTGGGAGACATGGCAGTGTCCAGCTCCGTGGGCTCCAACATATTCGACATTACTGTGGGGTACGCTTTGTGTTTCTATTTAAGAAATTAATACTTTTATTCAGCAAGGATGCATTAAATTGATCAAAAGTGCCAGTAAAAACATTTCAAATGTTGCAAACGATTTCTCTTTCCAATAAATGCTGTTCTTTTGAACTTTCTATTCATCTGTGAATCCTGAAAATTAAAATGTATCACCGTTTCCTCAAATGAAGATCATGTGACACTGAAGACTGGAGTAATGATGCTGAAAATACAGCTGCGCATCACAGGAATAAATTACAGTTTAACAGATATTCACATAGAAAACAGCTATTTTTAATATATTTTTACTGTTTTTACTGTATTTTTAATCAAATAAATGTTGATTTGATAGACATATAAATAATGTGCACTCTGTAATGTCAAATAAAAACTTTAACATACATTTGAAATCATTGTTTTAATCATCTTTTCTGGTGTTTTAAAGAAGCACACTTAATATTTTGATGTGTTGACTAACATACTAATGCACATGTAAAGTACTTGATTATCATTTTAACTGTGTTTTATTCATTTCTACATTTTAAAGTTAATACATTTTATAGTGTAATACATTATGAGATACCGCATTGCAACTTTACATCATTGCATCTTTACAAATCAGTAATTTGTTGCAAACTTTAATTACAAACATATTTAAATGCATGGCATTCAGGTTCAACAGAAATGACATTAAAGTATATTTCAGTTGATCATAAATGCTATCAATGCATTCAGCAGTACTTTAACCATATTTCAAAGGCAATATAAGCAATTATGAAATATCATACACATATGTACTTAAGTGAGTCAAAAACACTTAATTGCATTTAATATCAATTTAAACTCGAATACATTTTCATTTAATTGCAATGAACATCCAGTTGTCTGAAAACATGACTTTCATTTTGCATGCAAGAATATTTTTTGAGAGTATATTATTTCTGTATTTCATTATGCAGCATTAAGCATCACACAGTTCACTCGGTTTTGTATCAGAGCTTTAGTTTCGTGCGTTTATAATGTTCAGAGCCCTAAACCAGCCTTTCTTTGTTTCCCAGGTTACCGCTCCCATGGCTGCTGTACTCCATTATTAACAGTATGAGCCCGGTTCAGGTGAGTAGCAACGGTCTGTTCTGCGCCATACAGTAGTCAACATTTGAAGTGGATCGAAAGCTTTTATATTTTATAAAGTTAAAGTTAATGTTTATTTAATGTCAAGTGATTAAAATATTTCATGGTTTTAGTTTTCGTTTCAGTTTTCGTTTTAGTTAACAATAATAACCCAGATTTAAATATATAAATAATATAATTATAAAAATAATAATGTTAAATATTGCTTAAATATAATATAAATAATATTTAAATAATCTTGTTTTCTCTTTGATCTGTTTCTTTTTTTAGATTTAGGGATGTTTAGATTTTTGTGCTCAAAAACAACAAAAATACTAAGAAAATCTTTTTTTTCTTTTTTTTTTTGCTAGAAAACAAGATAAAAGTATTCATTATTATTATTTTTTTTTTTTAATGCTCCACTCATTGAAGTGCAATTGATCATATGAGGAGATTATGTTAAACTAGGGCTGTAACGGTGCACCAAACTGAAATCGGTCGATAACTGAGTACAAACTCTTGTAAAGAATCATTTGAACTGGATGGGATTCATCAACACAGTGTTAAAACCTTTTTACAGCTTTCTAAATGTGTTTCCAAACAGCGTGCGTGTACAGTTTGCTCAAGTGGGCAAAGCCTAAGGGTGAAGCGGATGGAGCTGTGCGATCAGAATGATCTCTGATTATTTGGTAGTTGTTTCAGTCACTCTGTAGAGAGCGCTGAGGATTTCTGCGCAGACAGACGCTGTGATTACAGCAGGCAGCGTTTGCTCATTTCTCAGTCTCTGTAGGCCGTTTGTTCACGCTGTGAATGTGCTGCACTGCTGAATAATCGCCGGTCTGGAGCCATTATTCCACGATATGACGGATACAGTGTCCAAAATTATTTTCACTTTGCATGACCTTTATTCTTTCTATTGCATTTGTATGCTAAAAACACATCTTGTTAAGAACATGATAAGAAAACTAACTTTCTTGTGGTGGTAGTAAATAGAAGTATGGAGTATTCTGCATGTTCGGCAATCACTGGACGTTTTAATGGGTATTAATTTATTTATTTTACATATTTTACATAATATTTTACACATATTATGACCAATAAAACACCCAGACAGCTTTATAATATAGCAAATATACTTTTTTTTATCCAAATGGTATGAAAAATTAAACTGACCCTAAAACTGAGAATTTGTGAACCGTTACTTCCCTAGCTTTAAAAACTGGGAAAGACAAATGCTGGTTAATTATGTATTTTAGATGTTGAATGTTGTTCAAACACCTCCAGAAATAATATGGCTATACTATATCTATCTATCTATATATATATATATATATATAGAGAGAGAGAGAGAGAGAGAGAGAGAGAGGGTTTTATGGATCCAGGATGCCACACTGGAATGTTTCTTTTAAAGAAAACACTGATTATGTGTAAGACATTATAAATATTTGTATAATTTTCTTTAGATTTTGCCTGTATGTCAAGAGGCCAAGTAGCCAGATGCATTGAATTTGAACATATTGTTTAATGTGGTATGTCATCCGTTCTGCTTTCTATCCTTTCATTTCAGTTTTTGAACATCTTGTTCATTTAATAGCAGTATAGAGGTATTTGAGCTGCAGTATTGATTGTAAAAATGATTACTTACTGCCTCATTCACACCAGAGGAGACCCCGATTACTGCATGCTGCTTCCCCGAGCATTATTATTCACCCATTTATAGAAAAATCGCGTCGAATAATATTATAAACGCGAAATGTGTAGATGCTTATAGTCTGCAAGTGTTAAAGCCTAGAGAACATTAGACATATACCGCACTCCCAGCTGCTAAAGTGATTTCTCTAATAGTCTGCGTTCACACTCAACTTACTGGAAACCAGATCGGAGACGCGCTAGAAAATACTTTTTTTTTTTTTAAGGAGGCAATGCATGCATGAAAACGTGTAGCCTAATAATTCAAGATGTGCTCATTGCTTAACTGATTCAAAGACACAATATTTGCATAATAATTTTCCTACAAGTAGTCATTTGGTAACGAACGAGTGTGCATGTGCTAGCGCTGTCTACTCTAGAGACGTAAAAACGCGCATGTATTATGAGCAGCGCGAGCATGTTACACTGATGGTGCTTTGGGACTCGATCTTCGTAATCTGTACAGACACACATGTAGTGCATTACTAACTAATAGAGAACTCACTGATTAAGAATAGCTATTCACGATTCACATATACTGTACACTAGCATAAAACAATATTGATTTTATTTGTGGAGGCAGACGTTTTATTTGTATTTGAAGAACTGTTGGCGTGACAGAAACCCTGAACGCAGCTGCTCTGTAGCTTTACCTTCACAAATGCTGCCCTCTAGTGTGTTATGGGACTGTATTGTTGTATGAGGTTGATGTTTCTTCTCTTTGTAAGCAGGCAAACACATGCACTGAACTTCTCTATCTCTTTTGCTGCACTAAATATATTTTTTTTAGGGAAGAAGATACAATAGGCTTATTTATTCCTTCAGCAGAAACTCTCATCCGGATTGCTGAATGTGTTTTTCCATTTCAGCGGTCCATGGATGAGATCTTGTAAGGTTTTTATTTTCTGAATCAATAAAACTGACGAGAGTGCATTTCAACAGGTCTGGACCGAGCAAAGGAGCGTGTGAATGTGTATTAAATATATGAATGTGTAGATATTTATTTTTAATAAAAACTGATGATGATGATGATGATGATGAAGGTGGTATTAAAACTGATATAAGCAATGCAGCTTTTTGAAAATGTGTTTTTTTTTATTTGTTTATTTATCCCCCCCCCCCTAAATTGGAATTCAAATTTACGTATCAGTAGTAGTTTTCTATCCTTGCTTGATACACTATAATAGTTATTATTTCTGCATTAACATCTGCTTTTCATAATAATTGTGTATTTTATTTTGCATGTGTATTTTGTCTTACAAGAGGCCTGTACACACTGCTCAAGTGCCCCTGCTTTATCCTGTTCCTGCTTTCTGGCAGGAGTATGGGTTATTATTATTCATTTGAATTGTGTTTCGTGTCAAACATGGCATTGTTAATATGCACTTTGCATTTATATGTGTCTGTTCAATTATTGTTTGTTAACTCTGAATGAGGCTGAAGCTGAATGTTTAAATGTTTGGAGTGAAAATGCTGATTCTGTTCACCTTTTTTCTGGCTTCATTTCTTAGCGTTTGTAGATGGCCCTGTCTCTGTCTCCACTGTTGTCTTTATTTCTTCATAAAACTGCACTTTTGTACTGAATCACAAGATTCATTCCTGATTATAGACACGGCATGCCAACAATTGCTCCATCACTCAGTGTTCAGTGTCCCATTTCACTAGTTCAAATGTACATATATACAAATACAATCTAAATATAGAGAAACTGTAAATGCAAAGTATGTAATAAAATAAATAAAGGCAAATATAAGGGCAGATTGTCCGTGGTCAATTAAGTTTTTCCATGAAATTAGCAACTGCAAAGATGTGAAATAAAGTTGAAACACACTAACAGGACTCTTTCTTTTCTTTATTCTACAAATGTAATGCACATGCAAGTTCATGGAGATGACTATTGGAGAAATCTATTAATAATGTCACTGATTAAACCCACTGCCTATCACTCAATAAAAGAATCACATTTCTGGGTGTTTTTGAAAGTTTTGATTTTGTTTGGTTTAATAATTAACATTACCTTTGCGAGTATGACTCTCACTCGGCTTGTGAATTAGCAGAACTTGAACAAAGACATTATACAACGCTCAACATGGATAATGCTTAATGTGGCTTATTGGACCAAGACAGTGATAAAGTCAAAATTGTAAAGCATACTACTATGTGCAAATCATAGACTGGTGCAAATACGCATATGAACCCAAAATGTGAACGAAACGTGTTTATTTACACGATAAGCGTTTTCCTTTTATATAAAGAAAATGCATAATGCACTGAGACAGCGATATTAAAAGATCACATTCTGTGCACACTTTACTAATAACGCATACTATGTGCAGGAAAACAGATGAGTCTAAAATATGAACTTTAAATGTAACTGTCTGTTCAATGCATAAGACCTGTTAAGCGTTTTCTTAAAGGAGGAAAATACTTAGCGTATAATTAAATGCATTCCCTGTTGAAAAAAACAGCATATGCTGGTTAGGTATGTTTTGACACTGGGATGCTGGTTTAAGCTGGTCATTTGCTGGACCAAAGGACCAGCATAAACCAGCAAAGGACCAGCATAAACCAGCAAAGGACCAGCTTAAACCAGCAAAAGGACCAGCATAAACCAGCAAAAGGACCAGCATAAACCAGCAAAGGGACCAGCATAAACCAGCAAAGGACCAGCATAAACCAGCAAAGGACCAGCATAAACCAGCAAAGGACCAGCATAAACCAGCAAAGGACCAGCATAAACCAGCAAAGGACCAGCATAAACCAGCAAA